TAATAGGTTTCCCCTTATCCCTGACTCTCGGACCTTGTAAAGTAACCGGTGGTGTGGAACACTATCAAAGGCTTTCTTGAAATCTATGTAAACGATATCGACCTTTGTTCCTGCGTCTAACGAGCGAGACCACTGTTCCGTTTAATGAAGCATATTAGTTAGGCAGGAGTGATTTCGTCGAAAGCCATGCTGAGAACTAGCAAAGAAATTATTTTCTTCAAGGAACTTCATTATGGATTTTTTGACTATTTTCTCCATGACTTTGCAACAAATGCACGTTAGGCTCACCGGCCGATAATTGTCCAATCAAGTTCACCCCGGTGCTTTAGTCTTAATCTCTACAGCCCAATACCAACAACGAACGAACACGAAAGAAGCGGTAAATAAGTCGCGGAGTCGGCCCCGTCTCATATCGACGCTCTAAATTTAAATGTTGTCGTGGTTCACTAGGCTCCACGCCGATATTCGTCGGAACTAAAGTTCAGATCAAATGCGGTTAATGGTGACCCTAACTTGGCCGGTTGGTTAGTGGCTGTGAAAGTAATGTTTGCGCCGACTATTTAGAAATTGAATCAGTGTATCTGTCCAATCAAGTTCGCCCGATGCATTGATCTCAACCTCTACAGCCCAACACCAACAGCGGACGAACACTAAGGAAACGGTAGACAACTCGCGGAGCCGGTCCCGTCTCAGGTCAACGCTCTACATTTAAATGTTAAGTCCTGGTTCACTAGGCTCAACGCTGATATTCATCGGGACTAAAGTTTGGATCAGATGCGGAAGACTGTGGCTCTAACTCAGCCGGAATTTCGACCGACTCCGCAATATCCCCACAGATGAAGGAGCGTTGGGCACCCAACCTGAATCAAACCCTGTCGAGAAAATAATTATTGACCTCAATCTCCAAGTGATACCATGCGTCTAAAGCCTTAGTAACGGTTATTGGAGTCCAGCCACCAAGACTTCGCCTTGGGTGTGCAGACCGTTGTCCCGACTATGGTTGTCACCATAATAACGACTGTAATCAGTTAGGCAGTATGTCCCCGTTAAACTATTCTGCTGTGAACTTCTACTCTGAAACTTACGCCCATATCTACCTGCGAGACCCATGGAGCGTAATTCTGCGTTCGGTGCATATTTCTCGCACGTGCCGTGTCCTGCACACGCTGTTGAATTTGAAAATAACAAGTTCTTTGTTCATCCATAACGATGAGCGTCTCAAACTGTCTTTCTCATACCATGAACCATGGGCAGTGGATCTGGTTCGTCCAGCTGTCCTACCGAGTACTGCCTTGTGCCTAGTGTCTTCCGAAAATAGACCAGGGGAGTCAGATGAGGTTCACATTACTGATGATCACACAGCCGGGTAATTTGCCTCGGTCAACAAATTCATCTCGCTGCAGTATCTTTAGACCCAAGAAGGGCTGAGACGCTTAATAAGCCAAAGTGATTCTATGACGCCAAGAAAACCCGGACTGCTAATTTCCATCTCTCAACCAACAATCGTTAAGTTCAGGCGCCGGAAACTCGGCGGCGTTTGCATTATCCCAAAGATAGAAATGGCTAAAGCCTGTGTGGAGTTTACTTTTACCTTAATGCCAACATCCCTAGTCGAGGACGGGTTAGATATGCCAGTCAATCGAAAAATACCGTTTCGCTGAAAATCCTCCCCCAAGACTTCGAGGCGTTCAAACGCATACCTCGCGTTGGAGTTACACAAAACTTCCTACCGAAATCAGATAAGTAGATGATATAGTTCTGTGTAAATATAAAGAGCTGCAGTGCACTCAAATGAGAGTATAAATGCAGTGAAAGGATCACAAGGTGCGCAAAATAGCCCCGAAAGGGTGAAAAATAAATGCACAAGATACAAAAAACAGAAAAGGGACAAACAAATGCTGCGAAAACGAAAAGGAGTCACAACTGCTATTTCTTTGCGGCCAGAGTCTTTTCTCCCCTGTGGAAAGCAGGCGTAGTGACTGGGAACTTCCATCCTGACCTAAGGCTTGTCGGCGGCGACTTGCTGCACTGCGATGACGCCGATATTGATCTGGCCGGGCGATTCTCCTTCTCGCGCAGCCTATCAGCATCACCGTCACGAGCCCATCTAGGCATGTCGGAGGTGTCAGTCTCGTCTTCCATCACCGCGTCCTGGTGAAAGGCTTCATCTGGTCTGTCAGAGGTCAAAGCGAGGTCGCCGGTTGCGTCGATGAGGTGCCTTACCCGACGACTGGTTGGTGCTCTCCAGAACTCATCCAGTCCAGATGGTTCGTCCCCAGATGTGCTGTCGAGGTCCAGAAAGCAAAGGCAGAATTCGTCCGAGGATTTGAGCAGTAAGGCGTCCCCGGAGAGGTTCCAACTCAATGACCTCACGGAAAAGTGCGTCCCGACCTAGGAACAAACAGAATTTTGGATGGAAAAGAATCATCGTCAGCAGAGCCAACAAATGTCCTGACGGGACAGCTGACAGGCCTACTTGTAACCCAATCCGGCAGTCAGAAACAGAAACCGTAGGAGATGTAATTCATAAAACGCTATAACGTAAATCCACAAGATCATTTTGGGGCACTTCACACGTTCGGCATTTTACTTATTCGCCTAACGCATTGTTAAAAAATTCCTTTTCTCATTCAAAATCTGTTGTTAAGTAATTTTGCCAAGGGACTGTTGTAAATTTGGGCGGGAATTAACGTTACCTCATATTCAGGCAAATTTCTAAATTAATAGTTGTCCTAGGTAAAATTTGTGCATCTGAGCGTTTTTCTACCAAAGGCATTAATCTAAACGGGAAAGATTTACCGGAAAAATTTTCGCAAATTTGGAAATTGATGTTCAGTTTTGCGTAAATCAGGTGAAGCAGAATGTTAATAAGTATGCTAAGTTTCAGAAAACTAGAGGTTTTTCTTTCTTAAAAAATGATTTGCAAATCTGCATGACTTTATGCCCCAACAATCAGTAACGGTGTCTACAGGCAATCTATTGGGTTGACACAGCCCTCTTTTCCGGGCATATGCAAATGTACCACAAGTAAGCGAGAAAAGGTCTGCCATTATGCGGCCATTTCAAGATAGTTTTACGCAGTCAAGTTTCCACTAATACGTAATTTGGGGACCAAAAGAACAGGATATTGGCAGTTTGAGTAATATTTTGGTATTTATACAGCTACTACGTAGAGCATTTAGAATTGTAGAGCGGAGTCTAAAGGCCAGAAAAGATAATAAAAGTAGTTCTAACATGGAAAAAGTGAGGCTCTTCGTCCGCGATAGGAGAACTACCAGTACTTTTTAAGAAAAGTGAATAAGCGTGTAGAACGTTTCAATGTCTCCCTCAAATGTCCTTTGGAAAAAGATGAAGTACGCGACATATCCCAGTAAGGCATCTTTTGAGGGTGACTCATTAGAAGTGGTTTTAGAATTGACCAAAAGCATATTAAGTGCATGCTTTCGTTGTTCATTGGCGATTAGGTTACATGTTTGGGTAAGCTTACAAGTACGGTCCCAACCTCCATCTGCATCAAAAGAATGCTCGATAATTCATCACACAGGCGGTCTCCAAAAGCTGTCTTATTCTGATAGTTTTGACAAACATGAGCGACTAAACCCACCTGCTTCGGCAATCGATTGAAACAGTGAAAATTACAAAGTACTCACTGATATCTACATAACGTCTTGAGACAAGCAGCAGACGCCGTTGTCGCCGGGGGGCCTACATCAACTATGGGCATGGGAAATCCTCTTCAAAAAGATGTTATTTCTAACCAACGTAATATTATGTTCGATACACTGTTTCTGATTGAGTAGAGATTTTTCGTCAATTCGCGTACAATTTACGGGTTACGTCACCTACCGCAAAAAAAAGTAAATCGAAACGGAAGATTAGGTTGAGGGAGAACAATATGGATATCAGGCAGAGTAATGCAGTCGGAAGGGTTTAACAGAGCCCTTGCTGCCAATTTCCGCCGGCTTTGCTGACTCCCCGTCCAGCGTTATTCGTTGCCAGGGGTAACATGGATGGGCGTACAGTCGGTTGGCTAACTCATGAAATGTCTACTGAAATTCCGAAATACGTTTTCCTTTGGAAAAGATTAATTAAGTAGGGTTGTAAAACTAGTCAGTCTGCAGCATAATTCTATAATATTTCAGTTACCTCAGAATACCGGCTTTCGAATGGATTTCCTTCCGGTTGCATGCAAAAACTACACTCTGTAAAAAACGACTACTTAAGTAGCATGAATTTTTCTCATTGATTTTCAATGCCCTTACAGATTCAATTATATTCCATGGAAAACAAGCATAAAAATATTCATTCTTTAGTTAATTTGGTAGATAATTACGTCTTTTTCTAATTTTATACTCGAAGGAGGGACATAATGCGGTTTTAAAAAAGCTTTCCGATTCCCGAATAATTTTGAACCCGCTCTACTGTCATACTTGGATTTGGGCTTTCCAAACTACAAGCCGTATATTTTCCGCGTACGGAAAACGACACATTTCTCTAGGGTAATAAAGGGAGACCATATAGCGTTCATAAAATTTAGCAGTGGATTTGATCCATATTGTTAACTTTACAAGCCACATTGGTAAATGCAGAGGCATGACGATTTATGAACGGCCATTTCACGGTATTTAGAAGTCCCACAATCAGAAACTTTTTTAAAACCGAATTATGTCCCTCCTTCGAGTATAAAATTAGAATAAGACGTAATTATCTATCGAATGAGCAAAAGAATGAATATTTGTATGCATGCTCCTCATGAAATATAATTGGACTTTTGGGGGCATCGAAAATCAATGAGAAAAATTCATGCCGCGTACGTAGTCGCTTTTTACAGAGTGTAGTTTTTGCATGCAACCGGAATGAAGTTCATTCGAAGGCGGCATCCTGACGTAACTGACATATTACAGAATTATGTTGCAGGCAGACTCGTTTTACAAGCCTACTTAAATAATCCTTTCAAAACGAAAATGCATTTCGTAATTTCGGTTGACATTTCATGGAGTTAGCCCACCTACTGTACATTAGCAAAATTATTGCTGACATCGCGACCTACTACCTGCCTTAAAGTCCTGACGCCGGAGGCGTAAATGCGCAGTTTCAGCGATTGTAAAGACAAAAAAGAATGAAGGAGAAGGGGAGGGGGGTGATATAAACTCACCTCAACCGCCAGACAACCCTGAGGTGTCCACATGAACACCACATTTGTTCCAATGCACAGTGCTAGACGGGCTGTAGACTGAGGGTCCCAGGCAGCGGATGAAACTGGACCCGATGTGTGAGTAAGAAGGGAGGCGAGGGAGAAACGAAGGCCTACCCGCCAAATCCACAGCGTCCCGGGAGCGTTGTCAACCCGGGTAACCAAATAACGACCGGTTGGTGAGAAAAGACAGAGGCCGACACCAATCTGTAAAATGTAGAGAAAAAAACCGACACACTCACTTTTGGAGTAGTTTCAGTTTATTCAAGGTCTATAGACTCAGACCGAGAATTTTATACATGAATATTTGGGTCAAAGTCCATCAGCCAAAGCGGCTAACCGCGTAATATTCATTAACTGCCAACAGGCAGCTAGTAGTGTACTTTAGCGTAAGGTGATACCATACTAACAGCACAGGTACTAGCCAAAAGCCCATACACGCGTGTTTCGCCGATGTTTTGCCGCTGCATGGCGCAGCTGCGAGGGGTTCGGCTCGCAAATCAACCTGCCGCGAGCCTATGTGACTACAAACAGACCCCACGGGCGGAAAACCTCACCAGGTCACACACACGATGCCAACCTCCCCGGACAGTCAATCCGAGAGTCGCCTTGGGACCAGTCTAGCTTTCGGATGACCGAAGGACTACGGTCCGTGAGCTCTGGTTGGAAATGCCAAAAGGAACATTTTCCTACCGAAGGAAGTAAGCGTCCCCAACTGCAGCCACAAACATTTACGCAGTACCAACAGTGCCGTCAAGTATTACTACAAATACGGCCCATAGAAGCGAAGGGACGTAATCCGAAGCACGTAGAAGCGTCACCCGCCTCCTCCGTCTCTAATGACAAGCAGCCGCATATGGCGTTCAAAAAGTGAGACGCGAAATGAAGGCCACCCCCGGTATCCGCATCACCCTGTTCAGTTGCACTATCTGGAAATCGCATTTTCAAAAATGCTCACTGTGTTGGAGCTATTTCTGTGTGCATTAACCATATTAAATGATTTACCATTTGAAGTTAATGCTATTAGAGCACTGATATATCCGCACTCCACAGGACTAGCGTGGGGCTGGCAAGAGGTTGAACAGGCGGATGAGACAAGAGATGCAGGTCAACTACAAAGTAGGGGGTCGCAGAGACTTCCACAAGCATAGCTTCCAGGGCTGTAAAAAATTCGACAGGATGAGACAAGAGATGCAGGTCAACTACAAAGTGAGGGGTCACAGAGACAGTAATAAAGGCCCACAGCGTTTAGCAGTGATAGTTTTGAAGACTGCCAGTGGGTTGGTATGAATGCTGAGCCTGGTTTGGCGAATATCCTTAAAAAAGCAGTACGTTGTAGTAAGATGCCCGCGCAGCCACCGTGTCTTGAATCTATCTTATCACCCGAAGCGCATTAGAGCTGTGAGGAGGGGTGGGAACAGTGATGCGCAATTACATCTCACTACAGTCAAGGTGAGCTTGTAATAATGGTAGAGGGGCGCTTACCAATCGTTTCTACGGAACTCACTCGTCCCACTGTGCCTTGCGGGTTCTCTCTCTCGAGCCCAACCAGCAGCCGCACAGCGGCGCATGATATAGGCAACAGGCCCATGGCCCAGTGGTTAGAGACTTTGGACATCTAACTAGCAAGTCGCGGGATCGAGCCCCAGATTGGGTTAGACTGACTGACGAAGGCTAATAAGGTAGAAATGACTATTCCGGTCTCCCTTGTCATTGTCGGCAATACCATTCTGAGCTTGTACTTAGGCAGCTGACCATTATGCCCCATCCATCCCGTCTCAGTGCTGCCCTGATATTGCTCCTTCAAACCTGAGGACTAATATTGCGAGCTCTACCCTCTCTCTCTATCTTGCCTTCGCAGCGAAAATGAAATTCCGTAAGTCCATACCATGAGAGATTGTGTGGAGGCTCACTTCGACTTAATTTCGTTAGCTATAAACGGGGCCGCACAAACTACTGCATTATCTTCTCTGGATGTCCCCGCAAGGAAGTTATATTAAGTGAGGAAGAAGGCTGTGTACCTCGTTCGAAGTACTGTTTTCCGGTAACGGTGGCCGAAAACCTTCAGCTTTCGCTCGTTTAATGCCGGCACAGCCTCGCGTTCACAGCGGCAGAGGAGGAATGACCTGACTAATGTTCGATAAAAGTAGATTTTGATGAGGACTGACATATCGTGACTCAGGGAGACTGTGTCATCTATACTTCGGCAACAATTTCGTCTCGAGATAGTTAGAATTGTCGACTTGTTCAAGTTAAGTGGCATCAGGCAGGAGTGCTACTGAACACGACGACTGCGACGCCTGGAAACGACTCCTTTGCCCATCACTGGCAGAGCCATAAGCCCCTTCTAGTTTATGGCGCAAGCAGGGCTTGCGCGCTCTTGGAAAGTACACTGATCTTCCTTCTAGTTTTGCGCAATCTTGTAATGTCCGCAGTTCCTACACGCCGTGCTAGCTTGGTGATCAATTCCTGAAGAAATAAAAGCAATGGAGGATCACAAAGTACCATCGCCAAGGCCAGGAAAAAATTAAGAAAAAAGAACGTAGTTACCTTAGGGTTAGGTTTCTTTGGGTCCGGCTTTAAACTGGGAATCTGGATGGGTTTGGAGACAACCTCGTAATTGCAGCCTGCCGCTCCGGCCGGCGTAGCTGAAAGGGGATTTGCGGCAGATTGCTCACTGCCCCCCTCCTGGTAGATAGCCACACGGTAAGAATGATTTGAGTCCAAATTCGGGGTTGACTCCAGGACCTCGCCTGTCGGACTAAGACCCACATGAGGATCGATGGGTTTTGACAGGGGGTGTTGCAGCATCATCAGACAGGACCAGTTTGCGTGATTCAGAATACGACACTTCTGGTCGAATCTATGGGGTTAATCAGGGCAAGGATGATGTTGTAAAGAATAGAAAATGTTTTAAATGTCCAAACAAGTAACGGGAGGCATGAGACGTGGGGTAGGGGAGAAGTGTGAGATGATGGAAAAGAATAGATTTGATTGGGTTTTTGTGGCTCCCGAAAAACAAGTGCGACAAGTTCTAGTGCATGAGATGCCAGTAGGCATTAGTTATCCGCACTTAATGGCACTGTTGGCTTCGAATCCAACCTCGAGGTTGTGTTGCCTGATTTGAAAGAAAAGGAACCTGAACAGATAAGAAATGGCGCAGACTGCAAAGTTTACTCGATGAAGGAGCCCTAGCTAAATGCGGCCGAACGTCCCGTCTGACAGTAGTTCAAACAAAGATATTATAGGGTCTGCACGTTCCCTGTGAGATAGAATTTAACCCTCTCCTGATGAAAGGCAATACCAGTTTTCCCCCATTATACGCACTCCGTTCGCTGTGTATCTCTTTGCATTTCTCTGTCTTCAAAGATAGACGGATGTGTCCACTGTTGAAGCACAAAAGCATTTGGCAGAATCCTGTCAATGCTACCGCTACGGCGAAGCAAGGCCTTTGGGCCGACGACAAAATAATGGGACAGAAAACAGCACAGAGAGATCAGCATCCCGTCCAGCATCTAACGTATTCGTTGCCGCGCCAAATCAACTTCACCACTCATACTTTTCATTAGACTTTAAGCGCTGCACAGTCTGATGGCCTCAAGCCAGGGTAAGGCTCCATGAACGTCTGCGAATATACTACAAGGCTATTTGGAAGATCGTCTCGACTGCGTTCAGAACGGTAGTGAGATAAAATGCAAAAATGGCGAAAACACACCCGCCGATTGCGAGAAGCTGGCCGGAGGGGGACCACGCGATTGACTTCACTCCTAGATGATAACTCACACCCTCAGACAGCGAGCAGGTGTGCAGATGACGTCCGTCGGCAGTGAATATGGCTACAGTGTCGTGTAGGCATGAATCATAGACAGCAATGTAACGCCCGTCTGGGGACCACTCTAGACCACATGAGTCTTTGGTGGGCAGCTGGACGTTGACGACCAGGCGCCATTCTGATTGACAATCAAAAATGCTCATACAATCCTGCAACTCGCGGCGCTCGAGCAGACAGAGGTACCGGCCGCCAGGTGAGAAAGCTAGATTCTTGGGGCAAGCCTGAAGGAGGAAAAGAAGGAATGTGCGACGTAGAATTACATGAATTTAGACAGTTTGCAGCTGCTATGGGTGTGCTCCAGGGGGGCGGAGAACATTTTTTCCAGAGACCACTCACCTAAAGGGCCGACAAAACTCAATGCGACAAAGTCCTAGAAAATAAAGGGCTGGTCAGGACTTCTAGGAATTCGAGTAAACGTGAAAGGCCTGGTTTGCTAGTACTACGTATGTCCCTATTTTCGGTTATGAGAAAAAAAACTGTTCACATCAGTCTAGAAGTACTTTGACAAGCAAGCCAGTAGTTCTGCCTTAACCAGAGTATGTCTAAGCGGATCTTTTCGTTTTACTTGTCTCGAGTTCTGATACATTTGGCGTTCTGTAGAGGCTTTTAGGTCAAGCTAGAGGCAGACATTAATAACGCTAATAGAAATGAGGCGTTAAATGCCCATGTATGTCGGACTTAAATCGCGCCGGCACTTGAGCTTGATCCGGGGATGTCAAGACGCAACGCAACGTACGGTATAACCGTGTTGGGATGACTACCGCGTAGGAAATCGTGTCAAAACTTGTAAGTGAGGAACCGGATTAACAGCAGTTGAGGTCCAAATTAAGATAGGGGTCCGCACGGCAGTTTCCAACAAACATCTCACGGATTCCGTAGACAGGGCAGAAGTTGAGTCGGCTGCATGATCTAAACGCACGAGTCGATTTCACAGACTGAAAGTCCTCAAGTTTCCAAATCAGGCGGTGATATGGAACGGAAACACAAGATTCCATGGATGCAGCAAGTTCTCAACCCACGCTCAAAGCGATTTCTGCTCGTCACTTCCCATTCCAATTTTGTACAAATTCTTATTGCTGTCCCAAGGTCAAAGGTGTGACTCCTTGTTCCGAGATGTACAGCAATTCCTGAACTATTTTTTATCCTTAGGTCGACGCAGTCACTAGGTCTACGGATTAAATCACACGACCGCGGACATGTGTGACCAGGTTAATTACATAGGAAGTAGGCGCAGAAGCCCGAATAAGACAACATCGGACGGAATTAAAATCACTGTATTTATCTAACGGGCCACTAAGGGGAGAAATTCAAGGAGGTTGGATATCATTCACAAAAGTGATCAACCCTTCGTCCTGCCTTATTTTAGCTTCACTTTGGTCTGTTTCTTCCTCAAAAGGTGGTTCGGCAAGGATCTAACAAATGCGTAAAATACTGCGGTCAACTGGAAGGGACGAAGGTTACAGCGCCTGCAGCTGCTGTAATGCCCCATGACCTCGGTAGGGTTGTTTGAGTGAAGAAACACTTTTCAACGCGCGGACATAGGATGGAGTTGGCGTAACTGCATGCTGGTGAAGATGGCCGGTGTGTTTTCCTCTCACTACCGCCGACCCCTCTTCCCGCAACGTACCGTGACGCACGTATCGTTCTCCCTCTTTCTACGTCGGCACCCCCCTCGGCTCTTCCCCGCAGTTGCCGACAGCGCTGCGCTCCCCACCAGTTAATTAGCTGGCATGTCTGTATCGACTCTCCATCCAGACAGGTTACTCAACAGTTGTAACTCGTTCTGCTTGTACTATAAACTATTATTATATGCGTTTCGAATTCCCACCTCTGCCCATTATACGCTCTCGCCCACTTGACGTTTCTTCTTCCTTTATGTGCGGATGAGCATTGTGACTTACTAACAGCCCTATTCATATCAACGGTAGCCAGGATCTCTTTCGAGTGTTTCGCTACTTGGGTGTGTGCTACCCTTGATGTCCTCGGCCGCTACACTGCCTCCAACCTGGTACCTTCGTCTGGTGTGTACCGCAGTCCTCCGTATGGTTTTCATGAGTTCATCATTTGCTTCAACAAATAAGCACTAAAAATTCTATTTGTGCCTCATTATATGTGTAGAAGACGGGACATCACGGAAAAAAACGGGAACCGCGCATTCGAGACACACGGACGAAAATACCTTGGGATATTTCATATAAGACACGCTCGTACTTGAGAGAGACCAAACGGTAATTCGTAGATAAAAATCACAAGTTGTTAGGATGTGGCGGCTGTCCGCAGCCCAACATGCGTCAATGAGACCAGTTGATCCTTCGTCGATTTTGCAATTCCAATTTGAAGGACTAGCGGGCCAAACCTAGCTCGAAATATGGAAAATTAAACTAAGAACCTGGATAGAATTTCTCTTGCGCATTATACACATAACCAGAGAAGAGTCCGGTGACCAATGAATGTCCGATATCGTATCTGCACAACGGCAAACATTGATGATCGCTACTGTACGCACGTCCTGGATAATAAGCCGGAACTGATTCGCATATGCCACATAGAGTCCATTAGGAGACAAGGCAGCGGCGTGATCCGTTACTTTGAAGTATTCGGAAAATTTCATGTTTTTGCTTCGAGGACATACAGCATGCGACCGTATGCTCTTAAAAGGAAAGGACAGAAGAGAAAACTGTTTATTCTCAGCACAAATTGCTTCAAGTTACTAAAGTTTGGCCTGTCCGCTATGTACGGTTACTTAGGCTTGCCAGCGGTTACGTATCGCCTGCTGTGTATTTCACCAACCTCTGCGAGTGGCAGTCCAGCCGGAACTCTAAATGCAAACAAACGCAAAGCCTGTCAAACTGGATTTCGCACTTAGCGCCAGGCTTTCAGTCTACTAAAATCTTATTGGCAACTTTCACACTTTCCTGCGCATTTGTTTGTGTGCTTTTTACAATTTGACCATTTTCCATAGTCTTGATTTCTTTTTGTTTGCTCTAAATTGTTCAAACGTGCTTTTACCATTTCTTCTGGTGTGGTGGCTTGTCGCGGTCATCGTAGCTCCACATAAACAAGCGCACCAAAGACCATCCTACGGATCATTTTTCGCTTTGAAAAAGCTAAGAAAAATTCAATTCTACAATCTTTATCCGCACAGAGGTTGACAAGTTATCATTTTCATAGTGTGCCACTAGCCATTCAATTTCGAAACGGTCTAGGTCTGGTTATATTGGGGTGGGCTCCTCCAAAATGAGCTCGGAGACAGTAGAGATCACAAACGACAAAATAAGAAATGTCAAGTATGGCGAAAGAAGAGCATTCGTTTATTAAACGTGAACTATTTGTTATATTTATTTCAGCTCCTCCGTTGCACTCAGCATGGACATAAATCCCAAGTTAAGTGTTGAGTTCGTCAGCGTAAATCTAGAAAAGAGTGACTAGGATGATGGCAGCAGACAAACCGAGAACTCACTGAGGTCTAAAACAAAACGATAAAAGTGCAACACCCACCTCTCAAGGCTGAACTGCGAATCGGAAAGTTAGTGTGTAGAAAGTTGGCCGAAATTCATACAGCCGGCAAAGTCTGAAGTCCAAATGGTAGGAGGAAACCGCGCAAAATACCAAAATATGAAGAGTGCTGAATACGTGCCCAGGGCATAAGACAGACGCGCATAGAAAGTAATCTTGGCATTCAAATGTAACATGAAGTATGTCGTCATACACCTTCCGGGTAGACAGTAGTAGCTGATGTTATGTCGGAGGGTGACCCCAGGTGAAGTACAATGAACGAAAAATCTGTAGGAAAGCCTTTTTCAGGTTGTGTCGTCTCATCTCCCAGACGGAATCAAAGTACGTTTTAAATCATTTGAACACGGGCTTTATAACCTAAATAAATAAATTGTTTTATTAAGCGCCCCTGGAGGAATATCATAGCAAGTAATAATAAATTTTCTGGGGAATTTTATCACAAATTGAGAGACTGTATAGTATTCAGTTTATGATTATAAAATAAGCAGTCAGATATTAAAAACGGCTAGCGGCAAGCAAAAACTCCTTCTTTTGAAAAAAACAAAATGAATGTGAATTGTCTAGCTTTTAAGAAGAAATAAACTGCCGCTCATGGAAAGATTAGCATGTGGATCGGACATTACTGGCCTGCGAATGGCAGTGTATAGGGGTTCGTAACAGACATCGTCAAAAGATTGCTGATAGAAGCGAACAGGGCAGATTCAAGGCAGAGTTCCTAATCCGGGTGGAGCTATCCATATCAAAGTGGCGAGACGAGGAAAACCCAATTGCGATCGGTCACATTCAGCCAGGAGTCTAGCCGAGGAGGGTACATTAAAGGCTGAGGCGATAATCACCGCGTACGAGGAGGCGCTACCATGATACTTCCTTGATGACCGACCACACTTCTAGCAGATGGGAAGGCAGAGGATTACGCCCTGATTGACAACAAACCGCTCGGATTTGAAATGAAGAGATGACATCAAGAACCACAAAAATCCTCGCCGCAGGGGAGAAATAATAAAAGTGGGTTTAGTGGGCAATTAAAAAGTTGGGGTTGTAAATATCCATGTAGTAGTTACCACTTGAATAGGCAAAACATGAATGATCTACCATTAAATCCCAGGAACACTCTTCTAAAAGTTCAGAATTCGACTGGGTCGGAATGAAATGGTCAATAACGGCGTTATGCCCTCCTGTGTAAGGTATCTTACACCGGAGGTCAAAACGCCGTTATTGACGGTGTTTGCGTAATTTCGATTGAAATGCCAACAACTTAGACAATGACCTAATTTCTAGTGAAAGCTTACATAAAATGATGACGTACTTGAATGCAAAAGAGGGAGAATTTAGGTATGGAGCAAAGAGGCGGCAGGATTACCATGCGGAGTGACGCGTGGCATAGGACCGATCTCTCCGAGTAAGTGTCAAAGCACGGAAGACTGGAGCTAAAGCTAATGTGAGACAGGGAGCAAAGGCCAGTTTCCAGTCTTCCAAACCTCAAAAACCTGACTGCTGCAAGAAATATCATCCGGTTCGTTGTCCGGCCACTTAAGAATTATGAAAATTGCCGAAGTACCCTCGAAAATGCGTCTTACAGGTGATAGGCGGAGAGAAACGCGTGCGCTTCGCGGTACCACGCCTGTGAAATACGTTGCACAAATATCTCGGGACATGTGTGTGGCATCTAGAATAGTGAGTGTGCTTAGGGCATTGCTATAATCACGGCTCAGCCCCGTTAGCGGAGGGAATCGGAAGGACACCAGTAACAGTTGTATATTCTGTACAAAAACTGAGTGATGGTCAGAACCCCCAGACCTGCGGCTGGCTGTGGGCCTTTACGCTGGATGACGTGGGTGTAAATGAGTAAACATCATGCGAGAGTCTGTTAGTGTCAGTTTGGTCAGTTATTTAAGCGATGCTCGCTTTGTGGGCTTCTGTGACTGGCTATCCTCGAGGTGTGATGTTCTCATGTACTGGCCGTCCGGTAGCCTTAATGAGGTGATTTCTAGCGCGATGCAGATGCCAGAGCCGGAAGGCTTATCCTCTCCTAAAGCCCTACAGGTCCTCCTCAATGTGTACTTATGCATTGTTGGGCGACAACAAAGACTTCCTCATCTATGACTTTGATGTTGCAAATTTTTCGGTGACTTCTTTGCAAAGCAAATTTTAACTGAGTTCGGATCACTTTATTTCATTTATTCGCGCTTAAACCAATTTCTTAGCACTGCTGATGTCTTCTCCGAACAAATTAATTGTTTGCCTAACCCATACTCTTTGGGAATTTACGGCCTTCCAAATTCATTTTTTTGAATGTATATGATCTATCCCGGTATCTTGGTCACCTATTCTTCCATCCATACTTCAATGCTGGATTTTGGCTCAATGATACTGATTATCGGGCCGGCGTATAACTCCGTCATTAGCATAATTTCTCGAAAATACATGTGTAACTTTAAAGTTTCGTTTATAGCTTTTGCCCTGACGACCGCACAATATAACAAGTTATAAGTATTATATTCTACGAGCTCTGAAATTGTCTGTGACCTCGCTCCAAGGTTCAGCAAAAGATAAAGGCCGCACAGACTTACGAATATCGCATTTAGCCTATATGCATTCTTCACCCGAGGGATGTCCATCTGACTGAAAACAGATACCCCTGGGTAATACTACCACCTCGGTTTATTGAGAATGCCTCGAACGTCGAACTATACTGTCTATCGGGACACCTTTCTGTTTTACGATAAAGGGTCGTACTCCAGAACAATTTCCTCACACACTGCCGACCCGAAGGTAAGTATCTCGGCGATGTCATTTTCAAACGCTTCTCTGAATTGCTGCTAGAGCTGTTGCGACAAACTATAAGTAGTCAGGTCAGGCCTGACAGGGATGCGGGCTCTTGGCGAGTTCAGAAATGGAAGTACAATCAAACAGTAGCCAATGACGGTCTGGCCGGAAGTACAAGAGCAGGGAAGTTTCATTCGTCCATGATGTGGTGGGCTTCGGAGTTTCTTAAATTACCCATGCTACTGGTTAACACTGGTGGAAAAATTCGCAAGTTTTTGTCGCCTCTAAAATCTGCTAACTCGTCTGGAGGCGCGGACCAGGGCTTTAGAAGAGGGCTTTAATGTCGGTATCGCGTACATCGATTTCCAAAAAGTATTCGGCAGTCCCACACCGAGGCCTTCTGCATAAACTAAGCGCCCTCGGGATTCAGGTAGATCTTCCGAGCTGGATAAGGGCGTTTCTCGTTGGTCGAAAAATAGCGCGTGTATATCGGAGAAGATATGTCAGACAGGGTGAACGTAACCATTGGTGTGCCTCAAGACCCAGTTCTCGGGCCCTTTCTTTTCATCCTTTATGTAAATGACAGCCTTCAGGAACTCGACCGCGGTAAGGAAGTGGTTAACAAGAATGTAAGGCGCTGAAAAATCATCAAGAACCCAAATGATCAAAAATCCCTTAAAAATTATCTGTACCAGCTTCAAACGTAGTCCGCGAAATGACATCTGGGTTTCAATGTGCAGGTGTGCCGTCCTTTTTCTGCGTACCACCAACTGTTATTCAAATGACACCATGAGGACATATCAAAGGGAAGACATTACAACTTCCGCAGAATCTCCGCGGAGGCACCTCGGTGATTGGATACAGGGCAACATAAAATCAGTATTGCAGTGCACAAAGGATGCAAAAAACATCATGGAAGAACTCCATGCGATAAAAGCGGCGTTTTTGACCATCAGCAAAGACTTTTTGGGAGAGTTTACAGCATTTAGTTCAGCCTCATCTAAATTGCACAGAACTGTGGTGGCCATGGCTACCAAAAAAACAAAACATGCCTCGAGAAAGTACAACGCCCTGCAGAAAGGTTTATAAAGGGCTAAAAAACCAACTTACATGGAAAAACGGAACTGCCTTAATCTATTGCCTCTGTGCTACGGGCAGCAAAGAGGTGACCGAATCTCAATTAACAGGATACTGCATGGCCTTGCGCATGGGTTGAGCTTTGAGAACATTTTTCAGTGACACCTATCGCCCAATCTTCGTGGCCACTCGATGAAGCTACACACTGAAGTTTCCAGACTGAGCCTCTCCTCTGAATTTTTTTACGCGAAGGGTAGTGGAAAATAAAAAGGCCTCCCTTAATCAGTCGTGGTGGCCACATCCCCGCAGCTCTTCAGGAAAGACTTCATGACTATACGTGTCCTCTTTTTTCCCTCGACAGTCTGAACTCGAGCTAACTACCCCCTGAACCCGTTTGTTTTTAAAAACAACGCTACTTGAATCGTGCGAGTACCATTTAAATGGTAACTATTTCCTTTGTCCTTGTATAGATGTATCTGACTAACTGGCATGCAAACAATGGAGTTTTACAAGGCATTGCCTATAATCCTTACCAAA